GACTGGTGGAACCCCCAAGACTATGGCCCTGGGTTACCCTTCTGGCCTAAATGGACTCACTTCCATGGATTGACTCTCAGCCCAACAGCAGAAAGCCCTACATGCAGAACACCTACCCCAGCAAGACACACCCACCTACTCTAGGGCAATCAGCCATGAGAGACCAGAGGGGCAGCATTCACATGGAGGGAAAGCTGGACAGACAGGAATGCATAGATAAGAAGGGCACAGGGAGGGGGCAGTCACAGGGAGGCGAGGGGAGGAGAGTTTTTTATGGCTGGGGATGGTAATTGGGGCCATGAAATCAAATGTGCATGAACTGTTGAATGTAAATCAAATTTGCTTTGTAAATTTGCACTCAAAGCACAATTTAAAAAAAAAAAAGAGCAAAGACTCTGATCCAGATACCTTGAGCCAAGTCCTGGTTTCCACACACATGCTAGTAATATGATTTGAGCAAGCTACCTAACTTGTCTATGATTCAGTCTAGTCCAATGTAGAACAAGGATAAAAATAGCTCCACTTCCTAGAGGTGTGGTGAGTATTAAATAAGATAACATATGTCAGGTGCTTAAACAGTGCCTAGCATGTAAGTACCCTATAAGTTTCAGTTATTGTCTTAAAAATCCAAACATCTGCCCATTTTCTGTTACTTCCACTATTTGTCACAATTCCTCAAAGATTTCCAAGTACTTTACCATAGACCCATCCCAAAAGGTACGTGGTCCAGGATGAGATTTATATGGACCTAGACATTTAATGTTGTTGTAGTGATACTGCCTCGGAAACCCAAGGAGGGGTCGCTATGAGTCGGGGCCGACTCGATGGCAAACAACAACAACAACAACAGACACCTAAACTCTCTACACTCATTATAAGTACCAAAAAACCCACTGCTGTCGATACCAACTCATAGCAATCCTCATTGGGTTTCCAAAACTGTCAATCTTTATGGAAGTAGATTGCCTCATCTTCTTTCCATGGAGTAGCTGGTGGGTTTGTACCACAGACTTTGTGGTTAGCAGCCAAATGCCTTATCCTCTGAGCCACCAGAGCTCCTCTAAAAGCAGCATGATACATTCTGTGAAATAGGACGTTATGTGATTTGGACGCTGTGTGAACATTATATTATATATAATACCACATTATATACCTGTATATGGGAGCTCTGGTAGCATAGTGCTTAAGGCACTTGACTACTAACCAGAAGGCTGGCAGTTCAACCCACCTCTGCTCCTACAGCCAGGATAAGGGTCCCAGGAAGATGGTGGCCTTAGGGAACAACCAGGGGTCTTCCTGCCATACCCTTAGTCAGTACCTCATCACCACAGACACCTCCTGGAGACCACCACCACCACCACTAGGAGGCCCTGCTTCGTGTCCATGATCATCAACATCAAGAGAGAACACACTGGCCTTACGATAAGCAGGACAGCTGAGTGAGCCAACCCATCTTTCCATTACCCTGACTTCCCCAGCCAGCCAAGACCAGTCAGTTGGGTAGCCATCTTGGTACCCTATAAGATCTTTAGGTCACTAAGTGCCTCACGAATATTAACCTTTCCACCTCTGGGTGGAGTTTAGCAGCCACTTCCTACACATAGGCCTTATGGAGAAGTATGTAACCCTAACTGTGTTTACATAGAATGCACAAGTATGTATACCCATGATTTTGTACGATTTCCTGTTTTATAAACTATATATAAGAGAAGCTTGAAGGCTGTTCCCTTTCTTGGCCAAAGAAATAAAACTCTTGTTTATTGGCTACGAGTCACACGAGCACAGCCTAGATTTTAAGGTGCATTAATATGACACACACACACCCCTTCAGCCCTGAGTTGCTCTCCCAGCCACAGCCAGAGAAGGATTTATCAGATCTGAATCCCCAAGACCTCCAGGAAGTCCAGATCAGGAGAAACACCTCCTGTCTACATTCTGAGTCAGAGCCTGAGAAGGTACTGTCTCACCAGCCAGTCGTTCTGAGGTGGGGGTAGGCCAGGGTGCTGAAAAGTCTGCTGAGGGCCTTTCCCCAGAAACCCAAGTGTGGGGACAGCTTTTGGGCAGAAGCCAGTTTGGAGTGGCCCGGGGCCACCCACCAGGGATTGGACCCTGCACACAGAAGAGAGGCACCTGGTGCATGTTGCTCCCACATCAGGGAGCCCTGGACCGGCTGCCAAGCAGGCCAAGTTGGGCAGTGGCTGTGGCCTTGGCCTAGGCTTCAGGAAAAGCAGGGCGGTGCACGGGGCAGAAAGCTGCAATGCTGCGAGACCTTCAGCCAAGAGCTTCCACACAGGCAAGAAGCCCTATGCCTGTTTCGAGTGCAGCAAGTGCTTCTGCGGCTATTCCGGGTTCATCTGGCACCAATGTATCCACATAAGCAAGAAGCTCTAAGTATATAGCAAGTATAGCTCTGGTAGCATAGTGCCTAAGGCACTTGACTGCTAACCAGAAGGCTGGCGGTTCAAACCCACCAGCCACTCCTCGGAAGGAAGGTTGGGCAATCCTACTTCCGTAGTGATACTGCCTCGGAAACCCAAGGAGGGGTCGCTATGAGTCGGGGCCGACTCGACGGCAAATAACAACAACAACAGCCATTATAGCCAGGCCTTCAGCCACAGCTCACAATTCACTCAGCATCTGCGCTTCCACAAAAGAAAGAAGACCTACAAGTGCAGCAAGTGCGGCTGGGCATTCAGCTAGAGCTCCAAGCTGGTGCCACACCACTGGCTGCACCAGTGGCTGCATATGGGTGAGAAGCCATACACTGGCAGCCAATGTGGCAAAGCCTTCATCGGGATCTCTGTGTTCATCAAGCACTAATGCATCCATAGAGGCCAGAAGCCCTAAGAGTGTAGCAAGGTGTTCCAAGGCCACTCCCACTTCTGGAACCTGTGGACCCACGTGTGCAGGAAGCCCTCTGCCTGCTGTGCCTGAGGCAAGGCCTTAGGCCAGAGCTAGTAGCTCATCTAACACCAGAAGATCCACTACCATGTGGGCCAGGGACATTGGCCTATGTTAAGGGTTCAGAGGGAAGGCTCCAGCTCTGCATGCCCAGTGCCCCAATAAATCCTTTCTGGTTCCTGGGGGGAAAAAATAGCTTATGTGACCACAGAGGTACATGTAGTAGACCAGCCGTTATTTGTACTTGTAAAGTGCTTAGACCTGTGTCTGAGATGCGGAAAAAGTCAAGTGTTTGCTATTGATTGCTAATGTTTATGAATATTACCTATCAGTGACAAATAACTTCATGGTAAAAGCTCATGGTAGAATTAAAATATTTTTGAGGGGCAGGAAATTGGTAACCCCAGCCCCACATGAACAAGAAATATCTCCTGTAAATTATAATAATGATAACTGCTACCAGGTATGGAGCACTTCCTATATGACAGGCATTGTGCTTAGTGCTCCACTTGCATTATCTTTCTAAATGTTCACAACAATCTTAAGAGGTCCTTGCACCATTGTTAGCCCCATTTTACAACTAAGAAGCACAATGACGTTAACTTTCTCAAGGTCACACAGCCAGCACAAGTGCATTAACATTTATTTACCCTTTCTGGTAGAGTTAGTGCCTAAGGCATTTGACTGCTAACCAGAAGGCTGGTGGTTCAAATCCACCAGCCACTCCTCGGAAGGAAGGTTAAGAAATCTACTTCAGTAGTGATACCGCCTTGGAAACCCAAGGAGGGGTCGCTATGAGTCGGGTCTGACTCCACCGCACATAACAACAACAGAGTCCGTGTTCCAGTAGGAGAGAAGCCCTAAGAGGACAAAGGCAAAGAGCCAAGGCCCCAACTTACCCACAGTTTCAGTTTCCAAAGAAAAAATGGGGCGGGGTGAGGAATAACAGGTAAGCAATTACAATATTTTGTGGTAATTGCTATAATACAGGCTCTCTTACAAAATGTGCTATAGGATGTCAGACACTGTCTCTATGAGTAGGAATAGACTCCTTGGCAGTAGGATGTCAGACACTGTCTCTATGAGTAAGGAATAGACTCCTTGGCAGTAGGTTTGGTTTTTTGGTTTAAAGGAAAGAATCCAGTACGACAGTTATAGAGTGAGGTGTGACAAGGGTGTCCTGTAACAACAAGAGTTTTACACTGAATAGATGAAACAACAACTCAACTCACTTAGCAACCTCCTTTGGGGGTCATCTTTACGGAAGCAGATTGCACGGTCTTCCTTCCGCGGAGTGGCTGGGAGGTTTGAACCACCAACCTTCATGGTTAGCAGTCAAATGCCTTAGGCACTACGCCACCAGAGCTCCTTATACGAAACGAAGTACGGTTAAACCGGGAGGCTGAAGAGGCTGGTGAAGGGCAGGTTTGACAAGTCCGGGCAGGGCCGGAAAGGGGTTAAGGCGAGTAGGTGGGCGGGGCCCGAGCGTTGATTGACAGGGGTGGAGCCAGGCTCGTCACCCGGCCCCTCCGTCCGCCCCGGCTCCTCCAACCCGGCTGCCGGCTGGGGTACCGCCTGGGCAAGGGCCGGAGCGCTGGGCCGAGCAGGCTCACCCCTCCCCCGTTCCTTGCCGCGCTCCAAGGACTGGACGCGCTGGAGAAGTTGAGTAGCGCTTCAGCCGGCCCTGAGGGCTGGTAGTCAGCAAAGTTTGGCCCGAAAAGAAGTGACCTCAAGCCCAGGCAGGTGGCGGCCCGGCCTGGGCAGGGGCATTTGAGGCCTGCGGGCGGGCTGTAGGCGAAGGGCGCGCACCAGCACCAGTCTTGTTGGATAAGACTCGGCAGCTTCGGGAGCCAGCCCCAGGAGAGAGAACGCGGCGGCAGCGGAGGTGGCGGCGGGGGAAAACAACTCAGAAGTTGGCAAGAGGCACCGCCCCTGCTCCGGGGCCGCCGCCTCCCCGCCCCCAGCCCTGGCATCCAGAGCACGGGTCGAGGAGCCCAGGCCATGGGGCCCCCTCGGGGAGGCGGCACCAGGTGGCCTGTATGCCTGGAGCGGCGTAGTCTCCCCACCCGGTAGACGACAGCAGCTTCGGGTCGCTTCCTGCACCTCCGGACGGCCCAGGATGCTACCCGCCAGCCTCCTTCTCCTCCTCTTGGGTAAGAAACCGAAACTAGACTACTCACCCGGCACCCCTCCCCCAGGGCTGTCACTGGATCCAGCTGCTCCAATTCCTTCCTCCTACGCGACCCCTTACCCCACACTGCCTGCCCTGTCCCCCGTTCCGGTCGCTGCACCCAGCGCTGCAGGCCACCACCCCCGGGAAGTCCCCAGGCCCTCCACTCAGCTGTCATCCTCTCCGGCTTCCCTAGACCACCGTACCCACCGTACAGGCCGTGCTGCGGGTCCTTCCTTCTACAGCCTTACCCCTGCCACACCACTCTCACCCATATACTGCCCGGAAGCCCCAGACAGCTTCCCTTGCTTCTTGAGCAGCTCAGGTAAAGAAAATTCCTAAGGGTGACTCACTCTCTTGCCCGCTTTCGCTCTTCCTGTAGGGGGCGCTCTGGCACATCCAGACCGGAAACTTTTCCCAAATCCCGGTGAGTGAGAAGGAAGCTTTTGTGGGCCCCCGCGGCCTTGTCAATGAGGGACCCAAGAGAACGTCTCTCTCCTCCCTGAATTCCTCTGGTACCTACCATAGTCCTGGAGTAGAGATCATCTTTTTTATTTTATAGAAAGAGAAACTGAGGCCCACTGTGGGCCCTCACCTGGTAGTTATGGACTACATTTTGTTTTTTCCAAATATCCATGTTTGTTCTCCTTAGCTAGAATGTAGTCTTCCTCAGGTTAGAAGCAATATGTCCAGCTCCTTCTGGCCCAGTGGCTGGCACAAAGCAGTCCTCAGAATTATCTGGGATGTTAGCATTATTGAGGTGAAGCCATGGAGAGTGTGTGATGTAGGGAGGGGGAGGTGATCCTAAGGTGTGTATGGGGGGAGTACCCCCTTTCCCTTGTGAAGAGTCCAGACCTTTGGGGACCTCAAGCTTGGGGAGGGGTGGGGTGCTAAAGAACTCTTGATCAGTGTCCTGCCTTCCTCTCTGCAGCTTGTGAGGAGCCCCCAGAAGTGCTATTGGAAGTGCAGGGCACCTTACAGAGACCCCTGGGTCGGGACAGCCGCAGTTCGCCTGCCAACTGCACCTGGCTTATCCTAGGCAGCAAGGAGCAGACTGTAACCGTCAGGTGAGAAGCAGAACAAGACCCAGTTCCTCTCCCCGTCCTCCCCCCTCCACCATAGGAAGTGTAGGGATCACTTCTCCATGGAATTTCCATCCTTTTCTCCAGGGGAAGAGAATAATTCTATCTGGCCTAAAACAAAACAAAACAAAACACCAAATTCACTGCTGTGGAGTTGATTCAACTCAGCGACCTCTCCTTGGGTTTCCGAGGTGGTATCAGTACAGAAGTAGATTGCCCAACCTTCCTGCCGAGGAGTGGCTCGTGGGTTTGAACCACCAGCCCTCTGGTTAACAGTCAAATGCCTTAGGCGCTACACGACCAGAGCTCCCACTTATTTGGACTGGGGTAGCCCTGGGACATTTGACTTTGGTATGTCATCTCTGAAGGACAACAATCACTCTAGAGATAGTCCCTGCGCTCAGATATGATTGCTCTGTGAGGGGTTCTTCAATCTATTGCCCATCCCCTGCCTTACTCAGCTCAGAACCTTCTTCATCGTCCTCTTTTTTTTTTTTTTTTAATTGTGATCTCAGTGTAAATTTGCAGAGCAAATTCATTTTCCATACAACAGTTAAGACACATTTTGCATACAGCAGTGCATACACATTTTACTTCCTGACACTGATTGCAATCCCCATAATGTAGCACCTCTCCTTCTCCCTCCTCCTTTTCCCTCTGTCCCTCTTCCCTATGCATTCCTGACCTCTGAGCTATCTCCCTGTACAAATGCTGCCCTTCTGGTCTCCTATGGTTGATTGTTCTAAGGAATGTACCTACCTGGTGTAAACGTTCACCTTATATGCCTGTCTGTTGTTTGGCTGGAAACCATAGGAGTGAGTTCAATTCAGGTCCTAAGGGTCACTTGGGGCCATAGTCTCAGGGGTTTCACTAGTCTCTATCAGACCAGTAAACCTGGTCATTTTTATAATTTTGAGTTTTGTTCCACATTTCACTAGGTCTTTTTTTAACATTCCATGTTTTCCCAGGCTCCTCTGGATATGGGGTTTAGGTCCATGTTAAGTACCTGGCTATTTGCCTGACACAGTTCATTTCCCATGAATTTTAACTCAGAAGGGGGTAGGCCAAGGAGTGGGCAGTCTGGGAAGAGACTGTTGTGGCAGAGGGAGCAGAGTGCCATGGGGATGGCAGACCTCACCTCCTAGCATGAGGAGGAAATGGGGACTGTTCATTGAACTGTATGGACATTGCCAGTTATTGCTGGTGCCAACGTGGATGACAGTGTTCCAACAATTAGGAAGCAATAAATATATCCTATGTTCAGTCCCAGAGCACAAGTCATTTGTCTGAGGAGTTCCAGGATATACTTCATGGTTTCATGATGTCATTTGTCTGTTAAGACTATCCCCGTTGTGTATAGTAGAGCTGACAAGGGGCAAGGTTGTGGTGACTTCTTAGCCACAGCCAGCTACCCGGAGGGAACGAGTAGTTGGGCCTGCAGGATGGGGACCATGGTCACAGGGGATTTGGGTGAAAGTTTACAGAGCAATTGGCATAACATAACACATAAAAAACATTGTTCTATGTCCTACTTTAATGAGTAGCAACTGGGCTCTTAAAAGCATGCAAGCGGCCATGTAGATGCAATGATGGGTCTCTCCTTGTCCAGACCAAAGAAGAATGAAGAAAACCAAAGATGCACAGAAACAATTATGCCAAGGGACTAGTAGACCATGTGATCCTCAGCCTATATGACTATGTGACCAGAACTAGATGGTGCCTGGCTACCACTATCAACCACTTGGGGGATTGATGCAGGTGATCCTGGATGGAGTGGGAGAACAAAGTGGAACAAAATTGAAGATCATAAAAAAAGGGCCAGGTTTGAGTCTGATAGAGCCTGGTGAGACCCCTGAGACTGTGGCCTCTATTTACCCTTCAGGTCTAGAACTGAACTCACTTTTGTGGCTTCCAGCCAAACAAAAGACAGATATATGGGGTGAACATTTACATCTGGTAGATACACTCCTTGGAGTGATCAGCCATGGGAGAACAGAAGGGCAGTCAGTGTTTGAATAGGGAGATAGCTGCGGGCGGGCAGGAGTTCATGGGAAGGAAGGACACAGGGAAGAGGTAACTATGGGGAGGAAGTGGAAAGAGAGCTATGGGGGATTGCAGTCAATGTCATGAAACAAAATGTGTATGAACTGCTGTATAGAAAATGAATTTGCTCTGTAAACTTTCACCCAAATCACAATTAAAAAAAAAAACAAAACACTATCTCTATTGACTACAAAGGAATTCTGGTAAACTGCGTTTTCATTTGGCTGTTTGGTATTTTATTTGGATGGGCAGAAGCAGGTGTTTATGCTTCTTGGTATAGCAGAGATCTGGCATGCTGGTGAAGAAAGAAGCCAGCAACAGTCAAGAATATCTCATGTCTTGCTCTGGTCTACCCCTATAGGTTCCAGAAACTGCACCTGGCCTGTGGCTCAGAGCGCCTCATACTGCACTCCCCTCTCCAGCCACTCATCTCCCTATGCCAGGCACCAGCCAGCCCCCTGCAGCTGCCTGGAGGCAACGTCACCATCACCTACATCTATGTGGGGGGCAGAGCACCCATGGGTCAGGGCTTCCTGCTCTCCTACAGCCAAGGTAGGTTGGACAGTGGTGTCCATGAGACCACTGTAGTAAGCATTGGGAGCCACCAGGTGGACAGGGAGCTCCAGCTGGACAATGGTATCCTCAGGGTATTAGAGGCAGCAGTGGGGGCTCTAGGGCAGAAGGGAGAATCCTGCAGGCTCTGGTGCTTCATTCCATGATCTCCATGTTCCCTCTCTGCAGACTGGCTGATGTGCCTGCAGGAGGAGTTCCAGTGCCTAAACCACCGCTGTGTGCCCTGGTCCCAGCACTGCGACGGGATCGATGCCTGTGGGGATGGCTCCGATGAGGCAGGCTGCAGCTCAGACCCCTTCCTTGGACCAACCCCAGCCCCTGTCCCCACCCCACCCTGCAATCGCACCTTGGAGGACTTCTATGGGGTCTTCTCCTCCCCTGGATACTCAAATCTAGCATCAGGCTCCCACCCTCAGTCGTGCCTCTGGCTGCTGGACCCCCATGATGGCCGACGGCTTGCAGTGCGCTTCACAGCCCTGGATCTGGGTTATGGAGATGCAGTGCATGTGTACGATGGCTCTGGGCCCCCTGAAACTCCCCGGCTGCTGCGCAGCCTCACCTACTTCAGCAATGGCAAGGCTGTCACTGTGGAGACACTGTCTGGCCAAGCTGTCGTAGCCTACCACACAGTTGCTTGGAGCAGTGGTCGGGGCTTCAACGCCACCTACCACGTGCGGGGCTACTGCTTGCCTTGGGACCGACCCTGTGGCTCAGGCTCTGGCCTAGGGGCTGGCGAGGGCCTAGGTGAACGCTGCTACAGTGAGGCCCAGCGTTGTGATGGTTCATGGGACTGTGCCGATGGCACAGATGAGGAAGACTGCCCTGGCTGCCCACCTGGACACTTCCCCTGTGGGGCTGCTGGCACTTCTGGTGCCACAGCCTGCTACCTGCCTGCTGACCGCTGCAACTACCAGACCTTCTGTGCAGATGGAGCAGATGAGAAGCGCTGTCAGCACTGTCAGCCTGGCAACTTTCGATGCCGGGATGAGAAGTGTGTATATGAAACGTGGGTGTGTGATGGGCAGCCAGACTGTGCCGATGGCAGCGATGAGTGGGACTGCTCCTATGCCCTACCCCGTAAAGTCATTACCGCTGCAGTCATTGGCAGCTTAGTATGTGGTTTGCTGCTGGTCATTGCCCTGGGCTGTACCTGCAAGCTCTATGCCATACGCACTCAGGAGTACAGGTCAGTGAAATAGTACTGCTGGCTACTAGTTGCAGGGCAGGCTGTGGAGGAGTGGGGACTGTGCAGCCATAGGAGAACCATGAGGGTTCTCACCTGCAAGATAGGTTCTGGGTGATTGACTTGTGGGTCGGGTCCTGGGGTTGTCTACCTTAGGGACAGGTGTGCTCAGACTAGGGGAGGACAGGTCTAGATCCTGAAAGCCATCTGAAGAAGGCGGAGAACTCGTCAGGTGATTTTTGGAAAAGCCCTGGCATAGTTCTAGCTGCCCTGGCCTGGGTGTGAAGGGAAGCAGTCTGTCCAGGCCAGGTAGGCTGCCCTAAGGGAATCACCAGTGACTGAGCAGCCCTCACTCCTTCCAGCATCTTTGCTCCTCTCTCCCGGATGGAGGCTGAGATTGTGCAACAGCAGGCACCGCCCTCCTATGGGCAGCTCATTGCCCAGGGTGCCATCCCACCTGTAGAGGACTTCCCTACAGAGAACCCTAATGACGTAAGTTACTCTTCAACCCTAGCATCTCCTGGTCCCAACCCTACCATGACCCTGCCACTACACCCTGCTTCTTTCAGGCTTTGGGCCCTCCCTACCTCCAACTCCAGTGTCTGCCTCTTCTCCTTGCAGAACTCAGTGCTGGGCAACCTGCGTTCTCTGCTACAGATCTTGCGCCAGGATATGACTCCAGGGGGTACCTCAGGTACCCGCCGCCGCCAACGGGGCCGCTCAGTTCGCCGCCTGGTACGCCGTCTCCGCCGCTGGGGCCTGCTTCCCCGAGCCAACCCCCCAGCCCGGGCCCCTGACACCAGATCCCAGGGCACAGCTTCTGCTTCTCCTCTCGAGGCCCTAGATGGCAGCACAGGTCCAGTCTGTGAGGGTGGGGCAGTGGGCGGGCAGGATAGGGAGCAGGCACCCTCGCTTCCGGTCAAGGTCCCCCTCCCATCTGCTAGCGTGTCACCTGCCCTCCCTGAGGTCCCAGGGCCACTGCCCTCTGCACCACTGGAGCCATCACTGCTGTCTGGAATGGTGCAGGCCCTGCGGGGCCACCTCCTGCCCAGCCTGCGTACCCCAGGACCAACCCGGTCCCCAGCTGCACCCCATACGGTCCTGTCCCCAGAGGACGAGGATGATGTGCTGCTTCTGCCACTGGCAGAGCCAGAGGCCTGGGTAGTCGAGGCGGAGGATGAGCCACTGCTTGCCTGAGGCGAGCTGGTCTCCCAGGGGATGGTGGTCCCAAAGGTGACAACAGCTTCCCTTCCACCCTGTGTTGCAGTCTCAGGGGACTTGGTGGGCCTTCCATTGTCCCTGTGTCACTGCTGTAAACTTAGGTGTCCCTCAGGCAGGAAGAGGGCCCACACACAGCCTTCTCTGCACACAGCCAGAGATCGCAGTCCCTCTACCACCTTTGAACACACCACCACCACCAGTTGGGTGGCTGTTTTTAAAAAGTTTACTTTTTAAAGGGTTATAGGCCTGGACAGTCATCCTTGCCAAAGCCCCGCCCAAAAGTGACCTTATGCACCCGGATGCCAATTGGCTGGAGATGTTCCAGCCCCCAAGGGGAGGATTTGGGCAAGATCTTAAGTCTTGTCAGCTATAATCCTTTCTATAGGGACTGGCTCATAGAAAGAGCTTAACAAATGTATTTGTCCCATAATTGGGTCATTCCCTAGGAAGCCAAGGTAAAAAAAATAAAGGATTTATAAATTTAAAAATTTTTGCAAATTAGCTGAGCCTAAGCCCTGCCTCTGTCGCCACCTCAGCTTATTCTCACCTCACCTTACTCCATAGATGCCCACACTCTTCCCTCCACCTCCTGCCCTTCTTACCTATCTTCCAACCACTTCATCCTTGATTCTTACACGAAAAAAAAAAAAAAAACACAACTCACTGCCATCAAGTCAGATCCGACTCACTGCGAGCCCTCCTTGAATTTCCAAGGCACTATCACTACAAAAGTAGATTGCCCAACCTTCCTTCCAAGGAGTGGCTAGTGGGTTTGAACCACCAGCCTTCTGGTTAGCAGTCAAGTGCCTTAGGCACTACGCCACCAGAGCTCTGATTCTTAGACTACTCAGAAAGAAAAACCATTCTAGGAACCCTAAGGACCAACCCTCTCTCTTTCCACTTACTGCCCAGGGCCCAGATCTATAGTGACAGCAGGACTGAGCACAAAACCCCTGTACTTACTACTAGGCTGGAAGTCTGGAGAACCAGCTGGGCCCTGCAGCCAAGAAAGTTCCCATTTTGGAGTACTCCCAGAGCACAAATCACAAGAGCCGACTGTCCTGGTAAAACACAGGAGCCCTGACTCCTGCCCTTCATGCTCTACCACCAGCCACACAGTCTGTTCTAGGCAAGACATGAACTCTCAGCCAGAATGCCTCAAACAGGCAAAAACGAGTAAAGAAAAATCACAAATATTCAGGGTATGGAGATGCTTGCATCACCTTGGCCAAATCTAAGAGGTCTTCCTGGAAGAGGGCCCAAACTGGATTCTAAAAAATGCTGTCAGCAGTTGCAATAGAGCTATGAATTCTAGGTAGGATGGAAGCCCACAGGAAAGCAAAGTAGGTATGTGAGAGCCAGGGCTTTAGGCTAGACTCTGGATCTCCTGAGGAAAGAGGGCTGGCTGAAGTGCAACCAACACCCAGAGCTGAAGAGCTGAGGAGGATGATGGAAGGAATGATCGGCAAGAAATGTTGCAGTGCCAGGTTCTGGTGGGCAAGGTGACAAGCTGCTCTAGAGTTTGAAAGGACAATCAGGGCAAAGGATATAGAAGGAGCCCTTGGGATGGAAATGATGCTTCAGGAGCAGAGGTGAAGCATTGCCAAGAGAACCAGTCCCGAGGGGAACAGCCTCCCCTTTCCTGCCTGGCCTAACCTACCCTCACCTCTCCAGTGAAGGGACCCTATTGGTCCTTGTGAGCATCCTTACACACAGCACTAACAGCTTAATATTTCCTTGCTCCTAGTGAGCCAGAGCCTGGGGAAGTGCCCAGGATGGGGTATGGATCCCTGTACAGGCCTGGGACCCTGGCATCAGGGTGGACCTAAGCTCTTTTCACTCCATACTTCTGCAGATATTGGGGAACTCCTGAGAACTTGGTTCTTGGTTACTATCCTCCTTTTGGGCCCTTCCTCCCAAGAGCAAAAATCTCTGGATCTAACCAGAAATTTGGATCTAATCAGGCCTAGACAAAACAGTGAAGCAAGGAATGTTGATTTCCCTGCTGTTCTTCACCTGTTAGTTCTGACTCCCTGATTCACAGCCTGTGCTGAGAAAACCTGCCCCTCTCCTTGACCCCCAAGAGCCTTGATGTAGGTCCCACAATGTTTAGAGACTAGGCACTTTGGATTGTAGTGTCTATCATGATGGGACTTGAAGTTGCTACTATCTTTCGCTCAAACCCCCTAGCCTGATGTCCTCATTCCTTATCCTGCCCAGAGCTTTGCCTAGGGGCAATGACAACTGGGAAGTGGACAAAGATCTAAGGTCTAAGAATTCTCTCTCATGGTGGAATGCTTCAGAGTGCTGGAGGGAGGACTTTAGAGCAGAATTCACTAGAGAGGCCTGTGCTTATGGAATAGTGTGGGCCTAGGTGCTCTGTGAGGTGCCAGCAGTAACACTGTTTTTGTCAGAAACACAGAGTGCCAGGGAGAGGAGATTAGCCTTGCACGGGCAGAATGGAAAAACTAAGATAAAGAGGGTCCTCCCCAAGTGAGGGTGGAGCACTAAGGAGTAGTCACCCAAGTTCATTATCACCAAGGCTCAAAGAAAAAGAAATGAGGCAACTTCAAGCCCCATCATGATAGACACTACAATCCAAAGCGCCTAGTCTCTAAACGGTGTGGGACCTACATCAAGGCTCTTGGGCAGGGAGAGGGGCAGGTTTTCTCAGCAGAAGATGATCAGGCTGTGAATCAGGGAGTCAGAAGTAATGGAAGATACAAGAATTCAGCCTAAGAAGCAAGATCTGAGCATGAACCAACCTGTAGGCCCTGCTAGAAGAGAGGGACCTATAGCCACACAGCCTAAGTCTGTGGGAACATCAAGGAGGCTAACTAATTGAGTACCTGCTGAACGCCGGATACTTTACCATGTGCAGTTAACCCTCACAGCAAGGCTATTTCGTGGGCATGGTTCATTAACCCCATTTCACCAGGTTTGGGAACAGTTTCAGGAAAATTATGAGACTGGCCTGATCTCTGCTGATTTGTACCTGAATTGGTTCTATTCCAAAGCTCACCTTCACACAGATATGGGTGAGAGAACCCACACACCCACTGCCATCAGTTCGAGTCCTACTGATGGTGACCCAATAGAGTTTCTAAGGTTGTGAATTACGACCGACCTTGTGGTTAGCAGCCAAATGCCTTACTCACTGCACCATCATAGCTCCTTGGGTGAGAAGATAGCAAAAGACAATTCCAACTTCTACTAGTGAGCTGGGCAAGTTGTTTGAGGGGTTGGGGATGGAGCGATGCTCAAGAGGAAACTCAGCCTGATCTGGGGACTCAAGGCTGAATCGAGGGTTGGCAGAAGTCATGATAGACAATTATTGCTAGGGCCTGCAGCCGTTGATTCACCTTCATCTGGTGTCATAGAAATGAATCCAGCCACCTAAGTTTCCTTGGTACATAAAGCGCACTCCCTTACAATTTAAAACTTTAAAAAAAACTCATTGTGGAAGGAAATCATCCTGAAATGTTACACTCCTTTTCAGCACATGTATGATCTGATACAAACTCTTTTGATAGCTGAGGATCGTTCACAGAAAGCTATGGCATCTCTGCAGCGTTGTCTTCAGAGACTAACTATTGAGGGAACTGTTTGCCTTTATGCTAAATGGCATCAAACCACTTTAAGATGCTTGTGACTGCTTTCAAAGTTGTTGTAGGGTGTTGCCTCCCTTGCTACCAGGCTACCTGGGGTTACTTGCTGATCTAAAGGTGCTTCTAATCTACTAGTACAGGAACACACATGAGTGAGTGAAATTGTGAATAAAATAAGGATATATAGGCCATGATTGAGGACTTAAAGAGTCTATCCAAAATGAGCAAAATACATGAGTATTTTAGCGCATAGGAGCCCCTTTTGCTCCCTCTAGACCTTGCCCCTGTGTTGCCGTTATTCCTGAGGTGACTATTTGCCTCTTCCATTGGAAAACTCCACTGAGTGCTATACTATAGATTACTTCCAATAATAGAAGATGGTTGGAGTATTTGAGGCGAGGAAGGCAGCAAAACTCTCTGGCACTGGAAAGATGTGGGTAGGAGTCCTGGTGGCCCATTTCCACCTGCATGATTGATTCAGGGATAAGTCACCTACCTACCACTCTGAGCCTTCAGGTCATGAAGATGAAAGGAGATAATGCAGAAAGATGTGTAATCTGGTATAAACCAGGAGAGGAAAGCTGAATGTGCTGGGAGTGTCAGGAAGGAGAACAAGAGTGGGAACCAGAAGGGAAAGGGAACTGGGCAGGGAAGGCATGGTAAAGACCCACCATCCCAACTGCCTGTGTCTGCCTTCTTCAGCCACAAGGCTTGGTGGCTACCCCAGAGCGCTGTTACCGGCACCCCCCCACACACACACACACACACTTGAGATCAGGAGCTTTGAGAGGGCTAGATCCAGACCCCCCTTTTTTTCCTGCTCTGATTAACACTGGCTAGTGGGCTTAGCAGGGAACAATGGAACAGGGAGGAGGTTGCACCCACCTGAACCTAACAGCAAAAGGAAGCTGACCAAACAAAGCAGCTCTGGACTTCCTCAGAGTCCTCATCAGTACAGGGGCCAGGCTGGAAAATGGGTACTCCTGTGGGTTAGCTCTGAAGAGGTGGGGATGGGAGACGGTGGCAGGGAAGCTTCAGGAGTGGAGTACTCTCCTGTCCCTCCATCTCTTTTGACCTATTTTCATTTTGTTAGCCTTTTGCCTCTCCATTCAACCACTGAGCTGGATTACCTACTCTGGGCTGGACACTGGGCTAGAGGGCTGGGAATGCAGGGACAAATAGAGAGACACAGTCTTGGCTCCTAGAGAAAGAACTCCCTGACTCCTGCCATCCTTGGCTTCCCTATCCATTGACCCCCCCACCTCCCTGAGCCCATCTTTTCTGCACCTCTGATTTTGTTCTGCTCTTGCCTTAATAAGGTTCTGCAGTGTGTGTGTGTGTGTGTGTGTGTGTGTATACACGCTCTCAGAGGGAAGTGACACAAAGGAAAGGGAATGGGGAGGCAGAAAGGAGGGAATCCCGCTGACATCACTGCTCATTAGCATGTGTGACCTCATCGGGGGGCGGTGCAATTTCCCCAGGTGTCTGGGGGGGGGCATCGATGGGGAGGGTGGTATTTAAAGAGAAAAGCTGACAGTGCTACTGAGGGAGAGGGTTCTGCAAGCTGCCAGGCTGCACACACACACTGCTGCAAACAGAGCCCGACGCCGACATGGACATGGACACAGACACAGAAACCACAGCACTCTGCCCCTCAGACAGCTGCCGAGGCTCCCCACCAGGGATGCCCACGTCAGGTGAGAATTGACCTGGGTGGGTTCTGGCTGAAACCTTGGGGGTAGGAGCTGAAGCTGTGGTGGGGAAGTCAGAAGTAGGGGTCTAAGGAGCTGAACCCAAACGCAAGAAGGGAAGAGCAACTCAGGAAGTGGGGAAGAACCCACTTTCACGGGGATCATGTCTGGGCTAGGGTGGAGGGGTAGAACAACTGCCTAAATGCCCCCTCCCCCATCACACCCAGGAATTTGTTGGGGAACTGGTGTCTAGCCCCTAGGTCAGCCTCACTCCCAAGTGGTAGGGAAGGGCAACGGGGGAGAAGGAAAGAAAAAGGGCAGCCCACAAGCCAGGAAAACACAGGCAGGGGTCTCCTCTGGGACCGGTTGTAAGGGTTTCTTCTGGCTCCAGGAGGCTTTGGCTGCCAGCCAAGTATTGATCCTGGGCTATTTCCAGCCTCTTTCCATCCCCCTTTGTTGTGTCTGTTGTTTCTCTCACAATTACCCTGACCCATGCATTGTCATTCTGTATCACTCACACACACACACACACATACACACTCTCTCTCTCTACCTCTCTGTGAACACAGTACTCTCTCCTACTCCAGGACAGCCAGGAATATGTTCTTGTTGTTATGTGCCGTCGATTCGGACCCGACTCATAGGGACCCCTCCATGGGTTTCCGAGGCAGTATCCTGCGGAAGTAGATTGCCCCATCTTCCTTCCGAGGACTGGCTGGTGGGTTTGAACCACCAGCCTTCTGGTTAGCAGTCAAGTGCCTTAGGCACTATGCTACCAGAGCTCCCAGCCAGGAATATAGAAAAATTCTTAATACAAGCATGTACGGGGAGATGCTCACCTGTGGGGACCACAGGGAAGGGTGGCCTCTCTCACACCACATATCCACGAAGACCCAACACCCATCATCTCAAAGAGCAAAGTCCCTTCCTGGGAACAGGCTCCCCACAAAGTTTTTGACTCTGCAGGTATCCACTCACAGAGCTTTGGCAGCAGCTTCAGCTTCTCATCGCCACTGCCACTCTGCAGTTTGGGGATTGCCAGTGCTGGAAACAGTGGGAGACAGAGCCTCCAGGTGGAAGGAGAGGCAGCCTGGGGCCAGAGGCCTAGTCTGGGGGTGTGCCTGTGTGTCAGTGTGAAGAGTGAGTGGGTGTGCACGCTTGCTCACAAGTGCCACCCATGCATGGGGCATGTTTTGAATAGTTTGGCGGCTGGGACCAGATTGGAGAAGTCATCAGGTCAACTTCCTGGAGCCCTACTAGTTAAGGTTTCTGGAGAAGTTCCGTGTAAGAGGGCTGGCCAAAGAGTCGCAGCTCCTTCTGGCTCCACAGACATGGAATGGGCCTGGCAGGGCCAGTTAGGAATGAGTCCACTGCAGATGGCTGGACATACCCCATTCAAAGCTTCTTTCTCTTTGCTCCCCAGAAGTAGTTGCCACACTGCTGAAGAAGCCAGAGAAACTACTGGCAGGGTTGGACCGGAACACTCCAACCCCTGTCCCAGCAGCCCCCAGAAGAAGAGGCAGTATGCCTGTCCCCTACAAGCACCAGCTGCGGCGGGCCCAGGCTGTAGATGAACTCGACTGGCCACCTGAGGCCTCACCCTCTGACTCCTCTGACTCCCTGGGCTCAGGAGAAGCAGCTACAAACCAAAACGATGGTGTCTTCAAGGTCATGTTGGTGGGGGAGAGCGGCGTGGGCAAGAGCACCCTAGCAGGCACTTTTGGCGGTCTCCAAGGAGACAGTACTCATGAGCCTGAGAACCCAGGTATTTGGGGGAGCACTGCAGGCGTTAGAGAAGCCTCTGGAGTCCTAGTCAGTGACAGGAGTGCTGTGCTAATGGCATAAGCAGCCTCTGGAGTCAAGAACCCAAGAAAGGCTTCTCCAGTGCTTTTTTAGGCAACCTCCCTGGAGGGTGGTCCCTGGTGTTAGGCTCTGAGGCTTCCCAGGTAACCAGGTCTCAAAAAGTGCTGGGTAGCCTTCTAACAGGATCTGTTTCCTCTCCCTGTTCTCCCAACAGAGGACTCCTATGAGAGACGAATCATGGTGGATAAGGAGGAAGTGACTCTAGTTGTATATGACATCTGGGAACAGGTAAGAACTAAGATGTGGTTGTAAGTAGTGATGAAGCGTGCAAAAGCTGGGAAAGAGCAAGTCTGGCTGAAGGCTGGTAGGTTGCAACTTGTACTTGGAACCTAACCTTTCATAAAGGTTAGGTTGGGATCTAACCTTTATGTCACTTCAGAGAGCAAAGATCCATGAGAATATGCTACTGTGGTTGCGAAAGCCACTAGACCTTCTGACCCAGAGGAAAGTTAAGATCTGAACTGACAAACCCTGAGGCTCCAAGTCAAGCTCAGCATCCTGAAATTGACCCCATCCATAAATTTTTTAGTCTGGAAGAGTCTTGATTTGACAGAGCTGAGAGCTCTGGACTATCAGAGAAGTTTAAAAAAAAAAAAAAAAAAGTGAAGCCATCTGAATATTTGGGCATAAATTGTTATTATGTAGAAATGAGCTCTGGTAGTGTAGTGGTTAAGGCATTTGGCTGTTAACCAAAGAAGCCTGGTGGTTTGGACCCACCAGCCGCTCTGCAGAAGAAAGATAAGGCAGCAGTCTTCTTCTGTAAAGATTTACAGCCTTGGAAACCCAATGGAGGTTGCTATGAGTCAGAATCCACTCCATATGAGTTTTGTAGAAATGAGGCCAAATTACATGCACTTGGATAGTATTCTTTATTTTATTTTATTTTTGATAGTATTCATTTTTCAAACAACTTAAGCATAAGAAAGGATGGCAACCCTTGTCTAGAATCCTGTGTCCCCAATTCTCCATGTGGGGCTCAAATTACTATCTTCTCCATCCTCCGCAAGCACACTCAGGGTATGGAGATTCTGCCACTAATCAGTCCTGCATTCCTAAGCAAGTGGCATCTCCTTCACAGCCCATGTCTTCACCTTTGAGATACAGGTGGTAGACAGGATCTCTGATGCATAGAGCCTGAGCATTCCGTAACTCTCTGCCTATCTGCAGGAAGATGCAGGGGGGTGTCTGCGAGACCACTGCCTTCAGACCGGGGACGCCTTTCTCATCGTCTTCTCAGTCACCGACCGGAGAAGCTTCTCCAAAGTTCCAGAAACCCTACTTCGTCTCCGGACTGAGAGGCCCCACCACGACCTGCCTGTCATCCTCGTTGGCAACAAGAGCGACCTGGCCCGCTCCCGGGAAGTTTCACTGGAGGGTGTGTATCCTGAACAGAATCCCTAAAAGGAAACGTTCTCACTTCTCAAGTCTTCTCCGGAAGACTTGTTTAAGCCTCACTGGCATTTGGCCCCAGGCTAAGGGCTCAGGGCCTTGGGAATCCTTTCTATTCACTCCCCGTCACCTCTTCTGTGTGGCCCCTTTCTCCCTCCCCTCCGCATCTCCACTGCCCCACCCTGTGACTCTTGCCTTGTTCTTTCACTTGCGAGATTCATCTGCCCGGAATCCCGTCCTCAACACACCCGGAACCTCCCCAGACCCACTCTCGCCTGGGCCCAGTGCGGCCCAGTAGACGCCAGAGCCCATTCCTTCCTGCAGAGGGCCGCCACCTGGCCGGGACGCTGAGCTGCAAGCACATTGAGACCTCTGCCGCGCTGCACCACAACACGCAAGAGCTCTTCGAGGGCGCCGTTCGCCAGATCCGGCTGCGGCGGAGCCGGGGCCGCGCTAGGGCCCAGAGGCCCGAGCGAGGCAGCCCCGAGGGCCCCGCACCGCCAGCGCGCCGCGAGAGCCTCACCAAGAAGGCCAAGCGCTTCCTCGCCAACCTCGTGCCGCGCAACGCCAAGTTCTTCAAGCAGCGCTCCAGGTCGTGCCACGACCTCTCCGTGCTCTGAACCGCGGTCGCCATGGCCACCGCGGTCGCCATGGCCACCGCGCCCTTCGCTCACCCTTCGCCTCGCCCTACCCGGGTCCAGCTTCCTTTTGGAGGCCGTCTAGGAAACCAAAAAATCCCAGCTACCCGGGTGTGGCCGCAGGTGCAGGCGCCCAGCGAAGACCCGGGCCGGAGACGGGGCGGTGGGCGTCGCCCCACACACGCATTCTCTGGGTGCCTGCTGGCCCCAGAGTGCCTATTAGGAAGCGAAGACACCGACCTCCAAACGTGCGCACTGCGGGTAAAGATAGGAGTGGGGTCGGCGGGGGTCTGGAAGGAAGGTTTCACAAGATATTTTGTTTGTTATTAATGCGCGCATGACCACCTGCTCTGTAAAGAACATCTAAATCTAGAACTCAAAAAGTGCTTTGTAGATTACGGAATTTTCCTCCTTTGTACGCTGCGCGAATACACCTCCCTTTAAGAGATTCTTAAAGGTAAAAACAGGAAGACCCTTTTCAGAGACTTTTCGGCAAATGTTTAGCTCTTGTGTGCCGCACTTGTCCACTTTTCCCTTAACAAGGATCTTAAAGGTAAGGCCCAACAAGGGGCCTTTGGGAGAACTGATTTTGGGGTTTACCATTGCTCCATGCACTTCCCCTTTAAGATTATTAAAGGTACTGTGTGGACAGACTTTCTTCTTTGAGATGCCTGTGTGAAATGCTGAGCAGGTGGTAATCAGTCCCTTTTGGCCATGGCCCATGAGGCACCAGTAAGGGGCTACCCCTTCACTTTTCAATAAAGATTTTTTTTCTACTTCACCTGTTCCCTCGACCCTTTATTCTCAAATCCCCCTGGGGAAGGGATTAATATAGAAACACCTTTTACAGACAAAAAAACTCAGGCCCAGAGGAACAAGGAACCTAAACCTCTATGGAAACTCCAGAACTGACTTAAGTCAAGGCCCTCAGAAATAATTAGGTTTAACAACTACATTTAGGGATGAGAAAACTAAGACAGAGAGAGGAGCAGAGGTCTGCTGGAAGTCATTCAGTAATTTTGTGGCACAGTGGGTCCAGGGCTCCAGACTCGGTTCCAGCTTTTTATGCCACCATATCCTGTGGATAGCAAGCTAGAGGCAACACATAGCTCCCAGAGCTACACTCAGTTCTAACCTGGGCTGGCACCATGGGCCCTGCCACCCCAGCCATCACCTGCAAAGCCCCTGTGAGAACTGAAGCTGTCAGTGTCTCCCTGGGGAACGCCCACGCCTGCTGCTGCCTGAGCCACGAGTTTGAACAAAGAGCAGAGGCAGCAGCTCCCCTCACCCCTAGATACACAATGCAGCTACCTGAGCACCTGAGTACTAGGCCTTCATCCAACTCCACACAGGTTTCCAGAACTTGATGAAAGAGGGGTGACATGCCTTCTGAGTGCAGCTGGGGAGGAGCCAAGGGAGACCAGTCAGGTATGGGTGGCTATTATGGCACTAACCTCAGGATTTTATGCACTTTATCTCAGGTCATTCTTTTTAACAATTTACTCAGGATGTTATCACCCATTTTACAGTGGGTAAACTGAGAGTTGGAGTAACTAACTTGAGGTCACCCAGTAAGCAGTAAGAGCAGGAATTTCACTAATGTCTGCCAGATACTTAATGATTATTTTATCTATTAGTTATGGATTTAATTGTATCTCCCCAAAGTATGTGTTGTGATTCCTAACCTCCGTGCCTGAGTTTATAATTCCATTTGGGAATGGGTTGTCTTTGTTATGCTAATGAGGCAGGATTAGTGTAGGGTATGTGTTGAGTCAATCCCTTGAGATATAAAAGAGATTAAACAAGCAAGCTAGCAGAGATGGGGTGGGGGGAGATGCCAAGCCACATGAAGGTCCCCAGAAGGAGAAGCTCAGAAGACAAGGAGATTCCTCCAGAGCTGACAGAAAGAGAAAGACTGCCCTTGGGCTAGCACAGTGAATCTGGACTTCAGCCTCCTAAACTTTGAGAGTTTTCAAAACCATTGCTGCAGTACATTGGCAGGGAACTGCTAGAAATTCAAGATAGATTCAGAAGAGGATGTGGAACAAGGGGTATCATTTACTGATGTCAGATGGATCTTAGCTGAAAGCAGAGAATACCAGAAACATGTATATTTATGTTTTATTGACTATACAAAGGCATTCAACTATATGAATCATTACAAATGATCACACTGCAAAGACTTGGAATTCCAGAACATTTCATTGTGCTCATGAGGAATCTGCACGTAGACCAAGAGGCAGTTGTTCGAACAAAACAAGGGGATGCTGCATGGTTTAAAATCAGGAAAAGTATGCATCAGGGTTATATCCTTTCACCATACTTACTCAGTTTAAATGTTGTGCAAATAAATAATCAGACAAGCTGGACTATATTAAGGACTGGAGAAAGACTCATTAACAACCTGCAACAGGTAGATGATATAACCTTGTTTGCTGAAAGTGAAGAGGATTTGAAGCACTTACTGATGAAAAAAAAAAAAACTACAGCCTTCAATATGGTTTACACCTCTACATAAAGAAAACAAAAAGCCCCACAACTGGACCAATAGGTAACATCATGCTAAATGGGGAAAAGACTGAAGTTGTCAAGAGTTTCATTTTACTTGGAGCTATCATCAAGGACCATGGAAGTAGCAGTCAAGAAATCAAAAGATGTATTGCATTGGACAAATCTGCTATAAAAAACCTCCTTAAAGTGTTAAAAAGCAAAGATGTCACTTTGAGGACTGAGGTGCACCTAACCCAAGCCATATTTTCAGTTGCCTCATATGTATACAAAAGTTGGACAATGAATAAGGAAGACTGTAGAAGAATTGATGCATTTCAATTATGTTGTTCATCAAGAATATAGAATATAGCATGCACTGCCAGAAGAATGAAGAAATCTGTCTTAGAAGAAGTGAATGCTCCTTAGAAGTCAGACTTCCCCTTAAAAGTGAGGATGGCAAGACTTCATCTCATGTTCTTTGGATGTGTTATCAGAAGGGACCAGTCCCTGGAGAAGTACATCATGCTTGGTAAAGTAGAAGGTCAGTGAAGAAGAGGAAAACCCTCAACAAGATGGATTGACACGGTGGCTGCAACAATGGGCTCAAATGTAGCAATGATTGTGGGAATGGTGCAGCACGAGGCAGTGTTTTGTTTTGTGGTACGTATGCATCAGATCTGACTCCATGGCACCTAAAAACAACAACAACGAGAAAATAAATTTCTGTTTGTTAAAGCCATCTTCTTGCGGTATTTCTGTTATAGTAATCCTAGATAACTAAGACACCATCTTTGTACCTGAGATTCCCTTTCCAGGAAGGATGCGAGGAAGAGGAAGATGGACAGCAGAAGAGATGCAGGGGACACCATGGGTTGCTGGGGTTAAAGAGCCAGAGAGATTGCATGGCTGTAGGGGAATAAGCAAACTTTAAGCTCTGGGGACTCCTAGGCAAAGGCAATTCAAATTTTAAAATGCAGGAAAACACACTGGCCCATTCAGGGACCAGATGGTTCCACAGTTGGGTTGAAACCTCAGGGACATGAAGAGGAGGAGTAAGAGACAATCATGGAAAAGAAGGTTTGAAGCCCTACTGCAACAGACCTTAAATGCCAGGCAAAAGAGTTTGTATCCAACTCTGTAGGCAGGGAAGATAGTCACTGATGGTCTTTGAGTGTGAAAGTGACATGCTTGGTACGGTCGTTGGGGAAGAGAACACCTACGAGAGGTGTTCATGGATGGAAGTAACCACGGTAGAGCCTAGGAACCAATAACTGTAATACAGATGAGGATAATGAAGGACCATGCTGAGGATGATGGCAGTGGGAAGCACAGGTCTGAAAGCCAGAAGAAAATCAATGGGACTTGATAACTGAGTTAGTGTTCATAAAGAGAAGAAAGAGTCACAGGTGGTAGGAAGATGGTGAGGAACTAAGGAGTTTAAGAGACAAAGAAAGTAGGGTGGTGAGTGAGTTCCATTTTGGAAAAACTGAATTTGAGATGCTAGAAAGACATCCATATGGACACCAGTGGACAACTGGTTCTGAAAAAAAATTGTGGCAAGAGACACAGATATGAGAATAATCACTATAAAAATAATAGAAGATGCCAAGGGGAAGGATGAGATGCAGGGCCAACATTATGGTTATATGACCTGTACAGTCATACAGGGCCTTATGCTTAGTTTAATCCTCTGATGTCACTGTCCAGAAATTCTTGGTAATTTCTTAACAAAGGACCTTGCATCTTCATTTTGTATGAGGACCTGAAAATTATGTACCTGGCCTTGATGAGATGCTAAGGGAGAGTTCAGTAAAGGTAGTGGGATGCTTAACCCCAGACCACAGACAGGCTGTCAAGGTCTGTGATTCCTATGAAATATTACATACTATCTACATGATTGTGCAGTAATGCATTTGTCTGAGAATAAAGTCGATGAATTTTATCACATTCCCAAAGGACTTTGTGACCTAACAAATTATAAACCATTGATGATACTGTATACTGATTGCCTCTGGGAAGGGGAACTAGGAGGGGAGAATGCGGTGGATTTACTTTTCATTGTATGCCCCTTTTGTGCCTTTTGAATTGTGAACCATGGGCATATATTATCTGTTCATAAACTAAATAAAACCAAGTGTCACCACTGCAGAGAAAGAACAGAGACCACGGAGAGAGTCCAGGGCAGATAAAGAAGGCAGAGTAGCAACACCCAAAGAGAGAGTGGGAAAATTAGGATACAGCATGTGGCAGTTTCTGCCATGGGTGGGTTTTTTTCCTACAAGGAAAGTATCACCACTAAGGTCAAATGTTTCAAGAGAGAAGGATGAGGAACAAGAAAAGCCAGTGCCTTCCAAGTGGTAGAAGCTTAATAAGTGTATGCTGAGAATGAAGATGGCAGGACCTCCCCCGTGAAGGGAGCCACACACACCACCACAAGCCTCCCTCCTCTCAACTCAGCCAGTCCCATCAGCCCAACCCATCTGTGTGTTCCT